GTTGCCCACACAAAACTCCAGCTTGCATCTCGAGAGACGATGCGAGTCCAGCCAGACGTATTGCGAAGTGTATGCGATAAAGCCAGTATTTCGATTCTCTTGAATCGAATTCGAGTTGATATCAATCGCAGTTGATAACGAAACCAGCGGACTTCTTAGAGCCATTGATAAAGATAGGAGCACCGACTATTTTTCCACTTTATGCGTCACTTTGCTTGTTGATAAAAATTGAATCTTTCATAAAAATAACTTATTTTTTAACACAACAGTTTAAATTTTGATATTATTGAATAAGACATATAATTGATTTTCGACAAGCAATGAGTGAGAATTGCTTCAGTAGAAAGTCAGCGCTCCTGCGGCTGAACTGGATTCAATGACGCGCGGGGACAAACGAATGCGCGCAACCCCACGGATTTTGCCCAGTATGCTAATCAGTCGATAAATCAACGAGGACATCTCGGCTTGGCGATTCATTACCGAAATGGCAGCTGCCAATTGACGCGTGTGCCGATTACAACGGCTTGTCGTTGCGCGCGCGGGGTGGCTTTCGGAAAAGAGCGGAATGAGCACGAGTGGAACTGGAGTGACGTTTGTCGATCGACGCTTGCTTCCGTGGGATTAAAAGAGCAATGGAAATTGGGCGAGATTTATGATAGCGCGCACAATGCACCCGGGCCTGTTTCGGTCGCTAACTAATATCGCCGTATATCCGCTTCAACATTTGGTATCTTTGTCGCGCTTGAAAAGTCTGCGAACGGCAAGAATGATGTTACGAGTTGATTGAATTTTCAATTTTAGGCTCCCGAGATATCCTATCGCACTACTACACTTTTACGTAAGCAAGATTGAAATTTATTGTGCCATTGGAAATTTCACAAACAATTACAACGCCGCGTTTTAACATCGCGACACATTGTAATATTCAAATTTCTTATCTTTGACGATATCTTAATTCCAGTTGCGTCCTTGGAAGCAACGAAAGGTATTAACATTACGACGGACATTGAAACCCGACGAGAACATCGTGATGCGCCTCTCGTCTCTCTCTCCGCGGCACGCGCGACAAAATGTCAAACAGATGTCCGACGACTCTGTCGATAGGCAGGACGGCGTATCGGGCTTTGCTATCTAACGATGCGTTCACAGAACCATCCATCCAAATCTGCCCGAGGCGCGCGCGCTAACTTTCTGTCTAACTTTCTTTCGCGCCGCCATTTATCAAGCGCGCATTAATGTATTCCTGAAGCGGTGCAGCTGTCGAGGACGAGCTGTGTGTGTGTGTGTCCCGGCCCACAATGGGCAGGGATGGAAATGATTTTCCGCGACCAGGAGTACAGATCTATATATCGGATAGAAAGCGAGGCTTCGAGGCCTAAGCGCGATAACGCAAAAGAAGGGCGAACGGTAGGCGACGGCGAGGGGAGGTGGCGGTGGTGGTTAGGTGGCGGTTTTCAATCGGCAATCAATGAAGCGCATCCGCTGGATTAAAGGTCCAATGGAGAGAGATAGATCTAGATTCGCGGTACTGACTCTGAGCCAATCGGATCTGGTTCAAGGAACCCCGGGGACCGCGACGGTATTTGCAATGCAAAATAGGGAACCGCCGGGGCTACCGGCGGACGAGACGGGCGCGCACACGCCATACGTCCTTTTCCATCGCATGACTTCGGCCCTCCTTGTCGCGCCACGACACATGGCTACGTTCGATTATTTAGATATGCAGATGATCCGCCCGAATGAGAGAACGAGAGGGAGCGAGGGAGGAAGAAAGACGGAGAGGGACGCCTCACCTTCGCTCTTTTTACTCGAGACTCGAGCCAACACGAATCGTGTGTGTGTGTGTGTATATATGTGTGCTCGGAAAGGGTGTTCGTCGCCCCTCTCGCCTCTCGCGCGGGTGAATCCCCCCCGCTTCCCCCTGAAAAAACCCCCCACGCTACTCGCCAGCGGAGGGAGCTCATTGTTGCTCACCGTCAGGAATTTGCATGTCGACGCACTTTTCGACGCGTGTTCGCGAATAGGGTGGTCCTAGCAGCACCCGGATAGCAAAGTTGTCCCCACTTCTCAGGACTCGGATGCTCTTTTTTTTTCGGCATATGTATATGTCGCTCCATGCGTTTGATGTGCTGATTAACAGCCGCCACGAGACGAAAGACAAATATTGTATATATATTAGATTTGGCGGTACATCTTTATGCGACATGATTGATTCCCCGTACAATATTTGTGAATTCGAAATGTGATTATCCCAAATTAAAATCATAGCATATAGATTTTATCCACTTGCTATACACAATTTGAATAATACAATAAATTAGTTTTAAATTATTTGCAACATTTAAGCATAATTAATTAATTAGGCGGTCATCGAAACCCTGAGAGACTATTGAATAAATTCAGTCTGTCCGTCCTGACATCCGGTGGTTTCAGTCAATCGTGACGATTCCTTTCTTTACACGCGGCAAAAACGTGCCATGCTGGGACAAGCGGAAAGGTAAAGGCCGCGAGATAGAGTTGTTAAGTGTGCGTCAAGAACTGCCAGTTTTTCCGTATATGTCGCTTCCCTGATCGGCTAAAACGATACCGGCGACTGAGTTTGCGTGGAAGCTTGCACAAGTCACGCTTATGTTGCCTTATTCTTTCGTTACGCTACTGGAAAACTAATTGCCCGTATAATTGAGATCTTACTGTTTCTCATCTCTGTTTCTAATATTTCTAGATCCGGTTCGATATGAATTAATTTTGATCTTGATCAATTTATATTTCCTCCTATTAAATATTATTTTAAAAACATTTCAGAATTTTTTTATTATTTTCCAAGTTAAATTTTTATCTATTTTTGTTAGAAAATTGTTATTTTAATGCGCAATGAGTGAAGTTTATTGAACACTAAATTTTGAATCCTCTTTTTTAAATATCCTACACATATAATTATGTTTAATAATTCAATAATTTAATTGAAAAATATATGATATTTTTTAAGAATAAGTAGAACGCGTTTTGCGGCGTTCTAGTAAAATAAAAATTTGTATTTCTCAAAGCTTTGTAGTGAAGATGCTTAATAGACGTGAAAGCGGGGGGACACGCGCTAACTTAAAACGCCGCTTGCATACAAGATCACGCCTTGTTCACGCTTCCACACGCTTTTACTCGCGCTCGTGCCCGTACACGCGACCAGTGTTCATTCGATAGCAAGATCGACTTTTTATCGTCTTATTGCATAAATATTATCTTATTGGAAACTAGTAATTGGTTGTTTCTACGAATTGAATATATTATAAAAAAATCAGAGATATGTATATTGCGGACATGATTATGAGGCATATAATTATCATAGAATATTGCGGTTTGAATAAATAGAAGTATATATATATATAATAGAAGAATAAATAGAAGTATATATGATTGGTAACGCGTGCTTCTATTAATAAATATAGCGAAATATGAGAAACGTTACTCGTGCGGAACACGTTCTTCCGATTTCCGCGGTTTCGCCGGAGCAAATCGCGCGTGGGCTGCCCCTTATTTGAGACGCTAGTGAAACGGGGACACGATCGAAATCTCGTACTGGCACGAGCAAAATCTCTCAGAATTTACTACTAAACTACATAGTTATTTATAACTACATATTGAGTGCAAAAAAATAATAGACATTCCAGATGAATATTAAATCAAGCATATCTAATTAAAACTGTGTTAAGACTTACGGTGGTAAACTCGGCAAATTTAAAAGAACGCACCCAAGTTATTTTTGGCCTCGTGTTAAAAGAAGGTGAATTTTGTTTAAGTAATTTTAATTTATATAATCTCTTACAATTCAATGAACATATTTTCCTTTGAATATGTAGATACAATATTGTTATTTACCATGGCAAAACGCTGCAGACTTTCTCCAACAGCGAGTGTTCTGAACGCCGCATATTGATACGCAAAGCGAGTGAAACTATTTGTCCACATCCGGTTATCCGAGCCCCGGTCTGTAATAATATTTAATAATCTTCTATCGCGCGCGTGTTCTATATACTTCCGCAATAATCTCGCGCGTTTTGACGAATGATGCGATGATATCATAGCAAAATAATTGATGTTCCGGCAACGGTGCCGATTAATAAGATCGTCAACTAGGCTTAACACCGTTGATAGAGATCGGACTCGCGAATTGTATTTCTCGAGCCAACTCAGTAGCCAACTTGGCAACTATCGTGAATATCGCGTCGAGAGTGGAGTCGGCGTGGGCGGCCTCGCGTACGTCTAAGATTTAGCTCTATCGCGGCTCGATCGAAAGCCTCACTTTGTTATTCCTTCGCTGCGGAGCTTCGATACGTGGCAAAAATGTCATAGCAATCTGTACTATTGTTACTGCACCGTGATTACGACATCACGCAATATTCGCGCGAGCACGCCACGCTAATCGCGAGATCGGTCATTGAAACGATGAAATGATAAAGCCATCGACAAGCTTTCGCTTATTTCCTCGTACATTGCGCGTAAAGTTGCGCGCCCGCCGCCAAGGATATGTCGAGCGCGAAGGAAGCGGGCGGAAGAAGCCGACGCGATGATCAGTGCGCCGCAAAGTGTCAACCGTCTCTCTGATTTCTGCGATTTCTCCAAAGTGTCAATCATTGCGACCGCAGAGCTATGCGCGTGGCTGGCCAAGTTTATTAAAGTCTCACGAAAGTAGAAAAGACTTTCTGAAACATATTGAATTTACATGAAGAGACCACTAATCCTAGATTTTAATCGAAGGAATTTTTTTTTAATATGAATAAATTAATGTCTAATTTTTTTTAATATCGCCAAAAAACGTCTCTGAATTTTTTTAAAACTGCATTAGTATATGTAATGGATGTGAGCTAAACGTGCTTAGCTCATCGATGACAGTCGGCGTTTCTCTAACGATTTTCACGAAAGAAACGTCGACAAAGTATGATACCTGCATTCCATCGGTTGCAACATGTATGTCATACGAGACGTGATTTGATTTTCTATCGTTTCAGATCGGGCTGGCCCTCGTCGTGGTGTATTTGCGTGGCACGAGTCGGTGACGCTTCGGTAAGTCGTACAGCAAAAAGAAAAACAATCAACCATTCATGTTTGAACTTAGTCATGGATATCAAATCGTATTTTGCAATCGGCGACACTGAAATGATAATGATTCATTCTTTGACTTACATCCTTGCGGCTCGGCGAGCGGTCAGGCGCGTTACAAAAATGCAATACGCGCATCACTCATCGATTTACCAAATACTGTTATTAATCATACGAATGCCGGGTCGTTCGAATACCTGAAATTGCGCGGTACTTACGCGGCTTTATATCGGCCATAAATTATCCGCATAAAATTTATTATAAATTACGAGCGTTTGTTCGGAGACAATGCCTTTATTTCCAATATAGTCGTGCATTTTCGATTTCAAGCATCAGCACGCCGCGTGCGTGCACAAAGATATCCGTATATCCGCAACGCATACAGTCGGTTGGCGCGACCGCGGTCAGGCATCAGCGGGGGAGGGAAAGGTGCAGAGGAAGGGTTGGGACCTCAGAGCGAGCACGATTAACACGTGTCACGCGTCACACACATATATGCCTGCTCATCTATCTTTCCACACTCGCGCGGATCGCGGGACGCACACGCGAGCGATCGCGGCGAATACGTATATACGTAGGCAACGCGCTCGCGCGCGTGGAAAGGCCGACAGTCCATATATCTAAAAGCGACCCGCCGCCAGTCACCATGTAGGACAATAAAGGACGGAGGTGGCAACGTAACGTTTCCATACACATTCCTGGGCGGCAGCAGCGCGCCTGGCCGGCCGTTTAAGAATTTCTCGTCGTGTACTGGAACCGAGGTGCGACACCGCGCATTTCAATCGGCCGACACGCGTCGACGCTCGCCACGAAAATTCGCCGTTCCTGACGCAAGAAATAATGATAGGACAGAATCTTACGAGTGCGATGAATTTTAATCTCTAACGGAAAAATTTATCACCCGTGTTCGTCTGAAAAAACTGAAAAGATATTATCGATCACCGATGGTTGCGAAATGAAGCTTGCGTCAGATTCGAATCTTGAGAAAAGCGTCAGGACTTCGATAGATTTTCGTTCAATTTCAAATCAATTTTATTTTAATAGAACTTTTATTTAAAGTTTGACGTCATATTTAATGCTGGAAATGTGTTAAGAATTGGAAATAACGAAATAAAGTATTACAGATATTACTATTCATCTTGGCGAGCATTGAAAGTTTTAAGCATTTTAATGCACCGCGACACGAAAGAAATTCTTTCTGCCAGACCCGTTCGTTGCACTTTACGGACTACATTTGCATACTCTCAATTGTGGACATTAGTGCGTCTTGTACGCCTATATTCGTGAGTAGATAGAAAGATATCTCAGTGAAAACTGAGAGAACCTTTTCATTAAAAAAAAAAATGAATAGAGCATTAGCTGAAGCGTAGGCGAACGTTCGTTGTGAACGCACGCACCTCCATTCACGAAGAAATTGTGTACGGCCGCGGAAACGAGCCGGCCATCTATATTTAACTTGTCGACCGACGACAGGAAGAAGGCACGACGTGCTCGTCACAACGTCTCCGAACGAAGACATTTTAAGATACCAGCGCCTTTTTCTTCCTCAAGTCCCGTCGCATTTACCATTCTAAAAGACTAACGTCTCTTACGCGCGGACAGGCATTATGTCGACGCGAGAAATATTTTTTCTCTATACATTTTATGATTATCGCGCGCTTGTCAAGACAACGTCGTTCCTCGATATATGTATTTCTATCATTGATAGTATTCTAATTTCTCTTTAAAAATATTTTTTTGTATATTTATATTTTATTCATATTATAAAATATCAATTATTATTCAAGAATTAGACTTTCGCAAACATTTTTGTGCGTGCCACAAAGAGGAACTCGGTCGATGATGGAACGAGCGTCGATCTTTAATCGTCCCATTGTATTGTTTCTCCATCGTTCGCTTTCGTCGCCTCGGGTGAAAGCTTCGTTAAAACCGATCAACAGTGCTCGCAACTTTTCACAACACGCGTATACATTGTTGCGCGAAATCACGATAAACCGCACGGAATACGGAAATACGCGTTTCCTTTCGTCGAGGCAAGGATAACATCTGGTAGCAGTTGCAGCAATATCATTAGCTGCAATTACCTTGCAAATAGTATTAGACGAATAAATTGTAGATCGATTAGCTGCATTTAGCGGCAAATCATTAATTATTATTGGATCGAAAATTCGAATCTGCGAGACATGTTTACGTTACAATCGTTCCATTTGCTAAAACAAGTCGAACGAGTGGAAAAAATCCTGGGCCGTTATAGCGGGATGGAAGAAAAATCGGTCGGTGCTACCGCAAATTCCTCGCGGTTTCTCTCCTTCGAAACCGGTACTTGCAGAGTCTGTTCTTAATCCAGAAGCGATTAATAATCCAGGAATACGGGAAACTGCCTGCTATAATTCTCGAGCGTACAGCCGTGAGAAACCGGCCGCGGACGTTTCTTTTCCCAATTATCGCCGTCGCTTCCGCGAGGTTCGACGAAACTCGGCCGGGATAAAAAAATCCATCGCCAGAGGATTCTCACGCGTCTCGAATCAGGGTCTTCGAATTGAATTAGTCGTACGTTCTTAATGAGGCGCTACTTAACTAGCTAACCGATCGAGGTGGACGGACCCAATAAACACTGCAACGTACACAGCGCTCATTATCATCGCTATCGCGACAACCGAAAGGCACAACGACACTTCCTGCAGTCGACTATCTCGTAGCAGCCACGTCGACAGATTGTCGATAAATGATTTTTTTCCCCGCACGTATACTTATCGCTTCTGAAAAATGTGTCCGCGTGTCGCAAGGACTCGACGGGATTTTGAAATTCCGTCGCTCCCTCTCGGGTTCAATTATAATCACGCGGCCCGTACGGTACGATGGTTTCTCGGCGCAATTATCGGCGTATGCATCTAACTTTATAAGACAGAGAACTAGCCTAATACTCGGTATATTAGGTGTATTAGGTTCTTGACCGTTCCCCGGACTTGCCCGAGGTAGCCCCGGGCTGGCGAAACCAGAGCTCTCGACCTCGCACTCGCTCGCTCCCCTTCTGTCCCCTCCCACCCCCCCCCTCTACAGAAAGTCCCCCTCTCGGTCAGCAATACGAGAGATACGAGTGCTAGTTCGCACACGCGTGTCGCTCGCGCACCTCGCCTGCGAGTTTACACGTCTGAGTCGCAGGAATGCACGCGTGTCTTTTGCGGACTTCCTCTCGCGGACGTCGTCTCTTTCTTTCCTCTTTCCTAACCGGAAATTAAATCAATAACTTGTAATCGAACGTCTATTCGCACGAGAGATTTATATCGCTTTAATTATATTTCGCAGAACGGTGCAAACAAACATTTGCTGGTAACGAAAGAATAATTGACAAAAAATAATTTTAAAGTAAATTTTTTTCGTAAAAAAACCTAATCTTTCAAATCATGTTTGACAATTCAAAAGGCCTTTTTATCATTTTAATTTATCACAAAAGTTTTTATTAACATTTGTGCCAGCAAAAACTATAAAATAAAAATATAAGGAGTTTTACGACATTTCTCACATGATTATTCGCATTTGTTTCCGATGAAATCATTATTTCATCAACGGTTTTATCGCTGTGCTCATTCACCGGAAGAGAAAAAAAAAACAAACGGGATTAGGGTCTCGAAAGCGCGGAGAACCAAGAAATGCTGGAAACTGGATATCCAGTTTGTCCGGAGAGCGATAGCCGTGCTCGAGATATCACGCGCTCTACTTTACATCTGCTTCTCTCGGGACCGAGGAACGTGGATAAATCGACGGATAAAACTCGCGTAAGCGCGAGATAACGCGCCCGGAATCGATCGTCACGCCAGCCGATCGGCATTTTGCGCGGAGAATTATTTTACGACTGTAAGTGGGCTGCGGAGTCGGACGAATCGCGTACACATCAGGATGTTTATTGATTCGTCGGGAATTTTGCATATTATGCCATTTGTATTTCCAATTTTCCTGCTAAATCTTAATTTACGTCCAGAAAGATAAGAATCGTAGTAGCTGATACCGTTGTAGCTATCGTACCGTGAACAAACACTTTTAAACTTTGTAAAAGCTACGACACGTTAAGTAGAAAATGTTCGATTCAGGTATATAATTATTGGATATGAATTTATGTAACCTAAGATAAGTTTTAAAATTAAAAAACAAAAACTTTAAAAAATTGCATTAAAAAAAAAAATTATATTTTTATGTAAACAAATATTTATATAAGTAATTATATATGTCTCGCGTCATTTGTGCTAAGTATTGCACGAAAGATTCCTAGCTCGGCTGCAAAGGAATGTCAAGGGCCGGTATGTATCCTATTGCTCCCGATATTTAGCAGCCGTGGCGATTGTGGCGATCTGAGGCGATCGCTGCGGAATGATCGCGACCGGTCAGAGCCGATATCGGCGAGTATTTCAGGTCGTGCCCAGTCACGATAGCCTCGAAATTCGCGGTAGGCGTCATAAATCTACGGATCTGAGCGCTCTTAATGGCACAATCCGGCCGATCTAACAAGTTGCGCGAATAGCGTCGGCTTTAGACCCATTAAGATCAGTATGAAAAATCCGAGAGATCGATACCGCCGCCCGTGCTGAAACGTGACAATGGCGCGTGCAGCTATAAGACCGGTCCAGCGTTGCGTTGTTAACGCGTTAATAACACCGCGTGCGGTTAATGGCGCTGAATGGGGTCGCAATTGTGCCATAATCTCACGAGTCCGCGAATAATGTCGACTAAATTTCTTTTTGTCTCTTTTAAGAAATGTTGACCGATAAAAGTTGCAGAATTCAAATTATCATAATTTAGCTAATAATCGCTTTTAACACTTTGTTTCTTTTACAAGTTCTTTTTTTTTACAAACTCAAGAAGAAACTAATGACCAGCAGGTTCGCTGATTATTATAATTTCCGTTACAGTATAAATCTGTGTTATTGCTTGTTGTCGTATGCTCTAGTTTCAATCTAACCGGTGTATAC